GTCTCAAAGGCAACATAACCAATCGGGCTAATTTCAATGTGAAAAAAAGGAAATGTAAGCCTTATATTTGACTCAGTAACTTTTGAAAACACCATAAAATCTGTACATGGGGGGTACTGTTATACTCAGGAGACTTTGCCGAACACAAATATTAGTGTTTCAAAATAGTAAAATGTATTACAACATTTATATCATCAGTGAAAGTACAGTTGATGTGTGAAAAATGCAAACCGACATTTTCACTGATGATATCATTGTTGTGATATCTTTTACTGTTTTTAAAAACTAATATTTGTGTTCAGCAAAGTCTCCCAAGTAAAACCGTACCCCCCATGTACAGGTTTTATGGTTTCCTTGAAAGTTACAGGGTTAAATATAGGGCTTGCGAGCTAAATTCTCTGGACTTTCTGCCTGGGTTGTCGGACAGGTCCCTCAGATTGTAATTAATAAAATGACTTAATTATGTAAAAATAGTATATAAATATATTTGTAGAATTTAAATATATATGTATATATATGTATATGTATATATAATTTATTTTCATTATTTTTATTTATATATAGCTATATATATATATATGCATTTATAACGTTATTCTAAATATATTTTGAATTTAATATATATGTATATTAATATCAAAATACGCGTAGAACAAATTAAAAACGGTATATATTTTTTAAAATGTATTTGTTTTATTTTATTTTTTTCATTTTTATTCAAATGTATTTCTTTGTTATTTTATATATATATATATGTGTGTGTATATATATATATATATATATATATAATTAACATCATTGTAAGTGTATTTTAATATTAATATACATATATTAATATTAAAACACACTTTTATTAATGATGTATGTATGTGTATATAAAAGTACTTAGATCACATATATATATATATATATATATATATATATATATATATGATCAAAGTAATTTTCATTTAATTTAAAACCTGTTTTATAACTTCTTTTTAACTTTTAAAAACTTTTTTGCAGGCATTAGGGGGATAGCCATCCGCCGGCGTTTAGGACCGCCTAAAAAAAAGGACGGCATAGAACACCCGTCATCCTTAAGGGGTTCAGCATGCATGGGATAGGCATAAGGCTATCCTAACTATAAGATAAGACCAGGGACTAATGAAAGTATTTAGAAAATTGGGCAGACTAGATGGGCCAAATGGTTCTTATCTGCCGTCAGATTCTATGTTTCTATGTTTATAAATAGAAGCACATCTTTATGGTCACTGTCCAATGTTCCTAAACACTGAACATTGGCTCAGGCACAACATACAGGACAATTATTTCATAATTAGCAATATAAATAAACATAACCAATAGTCAAAATAATTGTATAATACTGAAATGAGAAAATCACATGATTAAAAATTAAATCAATCTTGCCTACTTTATCATTACTAGTCCAAAGGATTTCCAAATATTTTTATATTTTTTCTGCATTAACAAAAAAAGCAAAAAACCTTAAAATATATTTTGGTGTGATCATTTAGAAGTAGTTTAATTTAGAATGTTTCTTACAGATGTGTAAATTAACCAAGCTTGACAGAGCAGATGACTTGATTCTCATACAATACTCTTAATTAGAAACATAATTCACATTTCCATTTCACAACAAGCTTTCAAACTCACAGTAAGCATGAAACTGAAATACATACATGGTCAGTAGTAATTGGGTGAACTTTAAGAAAATGTAAAATGTTGTGTACAGGTAGTGCATAAAACAAGATGTTTATTATTTAATCAAAGAATAATAACACATAACAGTTCAAGTAGATCAGTAATCACAGATACTGTGATGACACAGAATGGCTCTGTAAACTCTTTATAGTCAAACTGTAATCTGCTAAATCATTGTGTTACACCTCTGCTTGCATGCAGGATAAGTGAGAAAAACCATTTATGTCAAACATTCAGATTTTGTTTATCTACAGATCACTTAATTAGTTGTTTTTAATGTAATGTCATATAATAAGGTAACACTGGCAGAAAAATAAAGAATTGCTTGCTGAAGTGCTTTAAGTTTTAACTAGATACCCATCTTGCTTATTTTATAAATGTTTCAATTGTAAGACCTTGTAACCAATGTGACTTGGTAAAATGGTTAGCCAAGTGATAAACAATAAGGAAAGGCTTGCAAAAGGGCAATTAGATGGGCTAAACTAGAAAATAAAAAGCTCATGTGCAAAGAGTTAAGACTACCCTAAAAAGGTCTTTAAGTACATTAATGGCCAAAAGGTTAAGTGTGAATCTTTTATAGGTGTTTTAATCAAGGAGGACCAGGACAGGGCAGAAATTCTAAATATTTTGTTTCTTCATTATTTAAGGAAGAATAATTTATGGCTGTAGATTTACAAATCCCTGTTACAGAAATCCTCACAGCAAAAAGGTGAATGATTAATATAGGATAAATGCTACAACATTTAAATAAAGTTAGTGTAAAGAAAGCTCCAGGGCCAGATTGCATTCACCCACAGGTATTTAGGGATCTTAGTGTAGAAATATTCATATTATTGTTCTGAATCTTTTTTTTAGGAATTGTACCAGAGGATATCATAGAAAAGCAGATGTGAACATGATAAAACTTCTCTGCAGAGGCATTTGGAGAAATATGGGGAATGGGCAGGCAAGTTGATTTAGGAACCCACAAGACATGTATCCAATAAATAGGGATGAGTTAAAGGAACTCTCCAGTGCCAGGAAAACAATCCATTTTCCTGGCACTGCAGGTCCCCTCTCCCTCCCACCCACCTCCCACCCCCGGTTGCTGAAGTGGTGAAAAACCCTTCAGTCACTTTTCAAAGGCAGCGACAATGTCCCTTTTCGCTGCTTCTTCCTCCGCCACCGCTCTTCCCCTTCATCACGTCAGCTGGCGGGGGAGACTGATCATGCCCACCGGATGGGGAGACCTAATGCGCAAGCGCGACAATGCCGCACACACGCATTAGACCTCTCCATAGGAAAGCATTGAAAATTTTTAGCGACACTGGAGGTCCTCGCATAGCGTGAGGATGTCCAGCGACACTCTAGCACAGTATGCTAGAAGTGCTCTCTAGTGGCTGTCTAGTAGAGGAGGAGTTAACCCTGCAATGTAATTATTGCAGTTTATGAAAACTGCAATAATTACAGTTGCAGGGTTAAGGGTAGTGGGAGTTGGCACCCAGGCCACTCCAATGGGCAGAAGTGGTCTGGGTGCCTGAATGTCCCTTTAAGGATAACATTAAATGAAAAAGGACTTGAGAACAATTATAGATAACAAATTAGGCAGCAGTATGCAATGTCGGTATGCCATTGAAAAAGCTAGTAAGGTGATTTTATGTATAAAAAAGGGTATTATTCTTCTACAATTCAGTCAATCACATAGATATTTTGCAAGGAAGGTCTATCACAATGAGAAAGAATGTTGCTTCCCCCAAATAATCTCAGAAAGAAGGATGTATGGATGGTTGGACAGACGGACCGACAGTGAAACAGATCCTTATGCATACTCCTGGGCAGATAATGGTAGAAAGAGATTTATAAATTACAATTGTTGCAATATGCTCTCATGAATAGCAAATCAACAATACAGTTCTTAAATTTTTTATTAAATGAACACTATAGGGTCAGGAACACAAACATGTATTCTTGACCCTATAGTGTTAAAACCACCATCTAGCCCCCATACCCCCCACCCACTTGCCTCCATAAATAGAGTAAAATCTTACTTGTATTTAAATCTGCATCTGCTGCCTCTGCACCTGATCTGCCAGCTTTGGCTGACATCATCAGAAGTGATTCTCTGAGCCAAGCACAATGCTTTTCCATAGGATTGTCTGACACTGTCAAGGAGGCAGATCAGAGGCAGAGCCAGCACAAACCAAACACAGTCCTAGCCAATCAGCATCTCCTCAAAGAAATGCATTGAATCAATGCATCTTTATGAGTAAAGTTCAGTGTTTCCATGAGGGTGGCAGCGCTGAATGGAAGTGCTGCACAGTGTGCAGCACTGCCCCAGGAAGCACCTCTAGCAGCCATATGAGGAGTGGTCAGTGAAAGTATCATTAGGCTGTAATGTAAACACTGCATTTTCTCTGAAAATATAGTGTTTACTGCAAAAATCCTGAAGAGAATGATTCTACTTACCAGAACAAATACAACAAGCTGTAGTTGTCCTGGTGACTATAGTGTCCTTTAATTACTTAAATGAATTTAAAAAATGCAATAGACATTATACAACTTTATTAATACTGTGTATGTACATGTAAAACAAAATACAAAAACATACGCACACATATAATAATAAAGTATAAGTTACAGTTCCACAAGTAAAAACTTATGTTTTGAGCTTTCTATTTCTTTCATCATATAAAGAAAAGGTTGCACAATAGATCGGTAATGTGCAGTATATGAAAAGCAGCCTTTTGATTCAGTATCCAAGACAACTATAGATTGTTTCTGTACACCTAGTGCTACTGTGCTATTGTTATGATCTAAAATGAAATAAAAGATTTTAAAATATGTTACAATAGCAAGAAAAAGCCTGCCAGATTGAATGGCTTTTTCAGTTCGATCCATGACCTCAACTACACTAAACTGTTGGAACATGCTTTTAGGAATTTACAGGGCATGTTAATGACAAAGCAAAATTGCTAGGCAGTTCTCGCATCAAAATACCATTTTTCTTTCAATTCCTATGCAGAACAAAACAATTTCCAACACCTTTGCATATTGGTTTGTTAGTTATCTCATTACCTTTTTTCATAAGGTTGCAATAAAAAGATTGGCAGTTTACAGTTTATTGTAGGGAAAAAATGCAGATTTAGTTGAGCAGATTTAACCAAATGAAAATGATAAAATGCTGACTGAAACTTAGGATCTAATGGTTATTCGACCACGTGGAGGTACACTACATTACAGAGATTATATACAATTCTTTATCAATTATGATGTGGTTTTATGTGCATATGTGGCGTGGAATTTTCATGAAGTGTAGCACCAGGATGGCTGAGTGGTTAAGGCGTTGGAATTAAGATCCAATAGACAAATGTCTGCGTGGGTTCAAACCCTACTCCTGGTACATGGTGTCTTCAAATGACACTGATGGTTTTAACAATCCCAAATATTATTGATCTCTTGTGTACTAGCAAAACCACTAACAGATTTATTTAATCAATCATTGTTAACAGGAGTAGTCCCAGAAGATTGGAAGTTAGCGAATGTTGTGCCCATTTACAAGAAAGGTAATAGGGAGGAGTCGGGCAACTATAGGCCAGTAAGCCTTACTTCAGTAGTCAGGAAAGTGATGGAAACCATGTTAAAGGATAGGATTGATGAACATCAAAAAACACATGGATTTCCAGATCAGAGACAACATGGGTTTACTTCAGGGAGATCATGCCAAACTAATCTTATTGATTTTTTCTATTGGGTAACTAAAATTATAGATCCGGGTGGTGCAGTAGACATTGCTTACCTAGATTTCCGTAAGGCTTTTGACACTGTTGCACATAGAAGGCTTATCAATAAACTGCAATCTTTAAGTTTGGATTCAAATATTGTTGAATGGGTAAGGCAGTGGCTGAGTGACAGGCAACAGAGGGTTGTAGTTAATGGAATATATTCGAAGCTTGGACTTGTCACCAGTGGGGTATCTCAGGGATCTGTACTTGGACCCATTCTCTTTAATATTTTTATTAGTGATATTGCAGAAGGTCTTGATGGTAAGGTATGTCTTTTTGCTGATGATACTAAGATATGTAACAGGGTTGATGTTCCAGGAGGGATAAGCCAAATGGCAAATGATTTAGGTAAACTAGAAAAATGGTCAGAATTGTGGCAACTGACATTAAATGTGGATAAGTGCAAGATAATGCATCTTGGACGTAAAAACCCAAGGGCAGAGTACAGAATATTTGATAGAGTCCTAACTTTCTTTAAAAAGATTTTATGGAGAATATTAAAGGGACATGCAAAAGAACAAAACAACCCTAGCTTAATTATGTGGATTTTATGTATAGATTATGTCCCTGCAGTCTAACCGCTCAATTCTCTGCCGTTTAGGAGTTTATGTTTACAATTATTTTATACAGTCCTACACCTCCTCTGGCTGTGACTCTCTCAGTCTCCATACACATTTCAGGAAAAAAAAACAACTTCCCATACTGAACAGAATGTTTATTTTAGAATTCCATTTTCCACACACTGAAGATTCATTAAAGGCTTAGTGTTTTGTTTTTATGACAATTTCAGGAGAGGAATCAGGGTGCGGGAGGGAAAGCTGTTCACAGTTTAATTGACATGCTTTCCTAAAGAAGTAAGTTTTCAAAGATTTTTTTGAAGGAGTGGAGATTGGGTGAAAGTCTAACAGAGACGGGAAGGGCGTTCCATAGGAACGGTGCAGCCCTAGAGATGTCTTTAAGGCAAGCATCAGAGGTAGGAGTACATAGGTCAGAGGTTGGACGTAGGTCTCCGGCAGAGTGTAGGTGCCTAGATGGGACATATTTGTGTATTAGTAAGGATAAGTAAGTCGGAGCAGCATTGTGCAGAGATTTGTAAGCAAGTATCAGAATTCAATGAATCCACAATCCACTACACTAACATTAACATTAACTTTTGTCTGTACATTTTAGCCTTCAGTGAAGTATTTAAATTGCTATATATATAGATTTAAATTTTTTTTGCTGAGTTGGGTAACATTTTGCACTGTTTTTTTTTTTTTTTTTACATTTATTATACTTCAATCTGCATCCATTCTCTCTTAATCTTATTTATCAGTTTTTATATAATACTTGTGTATTGTTCCCATAGTATATTATATTTAAATAATTTAATATATTTAATATTTTTTCTTTTATTTTTCTTATTCTTAGGGTGCTGCATTTTAATGGTTCAAACAAGGTAGGAATTAAAAACTTGTTGACTATTATAAAAACAAGTATTGGTATTATCATGTTAAGCTTTAAAAATATATATATTTGTAAAATACAAGCAAGACATTTTTGCATTTTTGTAGCACATGCCAACATCTGCCTTCATGGTAGTTTTCACTCTCTCCCATAATATACCTTTATCATCAATGTCCTTTAAGGTCCAGTGAACTGTGAAATAGTCTCTGTGTGTAGTACCGTTGCCACCAGTAAAACAAACATTCATTCATTTTAGCTTTTAGCTATAAGAAAGGTTGAATAAATGAAACACATTTATTAAATAAAGAAGTATTCTGCCAAAGAAAAACTTTTTACTTTTTACCTGCAAATTGAGTACACATATATGAGAACTAATGGCTACATTTGGGCAAGGCTTGATTGTTTGGTTCCGCAGAACAGTTTATCCAAAATTTTAATTTTGTTCGGGATGTCAGATGCTTGTTCGTGTGTCCATTTGGTTTGGCTGAATGTTGTTCATGGATAAAAAATTTGGGGAAACATGCAGACATGCCATTAGAACTCATGCACAATGGCTACAATATTGGCTAGCCTACTGGTTACAGAAAAATGGGAATATCCAGCACAAACCTTTAAGTCCAAAGATCCTGCTATAAGATCTTTGTTGCTGTCATCAGCCTACTGGCTACGCAATATAAGGTATGTTTGCTATGCTGGTTCTGAGTTATCAAAATTAAGTAATTCACATCTACAAATCTTATTCTTTTTTTCTTTACTCCCAGATTCAGTATATTTACCATTTCCTCAATAACAGATGTTCCACTTTTAGAACTCTTTTAAGGATGTTTGTTCATCAGATGTATATCTTCATTTGGACATTGGACAGTGCTTGTATGTACAGGGCTGGGAATGTGGTGCATCTAAAAATAAAGAACTTAACCAAATTCTCCCCCCAATAATGACAGACAACAAATATTGGATGAGACAGGCCACAGCATTTATTAAACATACAATTGTAGGATTCATCCGAACTTTATTAATTTCCTTCAATTCAAATATAAATAAGCACGTAAATATATGTACATAAACCATAACTTAACATATAAATTAACACCTATTGCCCTACAGCCGTTAGCTTAAATAACCGTCCTTGCCAACGAACTTAACCAGGTGCACCAAAACTTGCCCGCTGGGCTGTCGCCTCCCCCTCGTCCAACCAAAATTCCCTTTTCCTTTCAATGCTCACCACCAGCCGGCTTTTAGCTCGGTGGGCACGTCCAAGTCGGTAACTGAGAACAGGGGAGGTTGAGACCCACATTGTCCTTCTCCTGACTTTCCATCTGATACTCCCCAACCCTATTGGCAAGGACACGCTCCCCGCTAGCTGTGACAGAAACAGAAACACAAAAGAGGGTTGATGTGAGGGAAGTTGTTTGCTGGCCAGAATCCCAAAAGGCACTGAGGTATGATGATCCCTGCCCCACTCCAAACCCATACCCACCCCCCTACACACATATAGCCAATCACCAGCAACCATCCCCACACTCATACATGTGCCCTTGTCCGTTTAGCTGTGCTAATGCCCCAGGGCCTGAATCAGCAGCTAATAGACACTGATCCCCTTCCTCAGACCTCATTCATTGAAAATGGGATGTAGCAATGGATCATGATTTTTCTGAGCAGGAATTGCTGATAATCCGGATCCTTAAAGAAGCATTATAGTGCTAGGAATATAAACATTTATTCCTGACACTATAGTTCTAAAACACCAGTTAGTCCTGCAGCCCCTCTTCCCCGCCGTGAAAAAGGTGAGTTTACTTAAAAGAGATATGTCTGGTGCAGCCACGGACGTCCACGACTGCATCATACATGACGTGGGTCAAGATAGGGGTGGCAAACTCAGGGGCAGCCCTGGGTGGCAAAAGCTCTAGCTACGCCACTGGTTGGGCATAATGTTAAATGTGGAGAAATCTGCAAAATAAATATTCCATTAGTTATTGCATATGGAAAAAAATGAATAGAGTACTCAATTACTAGGATGAGCACAGGGTAGAACATTTTTTAAAGGCACACTGTAGGCACTATAACCATTTCATCTCATTGATCTTGTTATAGTGTCTGGAGTCCCCTGTCACTGTCCTTTCATTAAGTGTTAAAACATTTTTGAGCAGTTTAACACTGATTAAGGGTCTCTGACTTCAAATAGCCCAACCTTACTGGTGGTGTGGATGAGGCAGATATTATACATTTCCTTCTAGCCATACCAATCGATATTTGCATGGGCACTGTGATAGGCTGAAAGTGGTTATAAATGTAATTAAAGATGATCATGCTACTTTTCAACTAACCTATGTAGATAATGGAGCCTTATCCATCTAGGATATTGCTATAGCTCTAGTGCAGTGCACTTTCAGTGGAAAATGTATTCTGTGCCCATTAACTTAGTATGCCAACGTGAAAACATCAGCTAACCAACCGGCAATGGTGGGTTTAGGTGCTTCTCAACATTTATATGGTCCTTGACAGTTGACAAACAGGTGATCTGAAGGAAGATGAGCTATTGAGATAGATTTCTAGAGTTCTTTAGAGTTCTTTCTTCAAGAAGGTGTAAGTTTGCTTCCTTAGAAAATGAAGACAACTGTCAAAAGGCAGGAAAATGATGGGCTGGATGATATTGGATTTACACAGGACCTTAGGTAGTAATAATGGTTTTGGATGTAAAACCACCATGTCCTGATGAAAGATCATAAAATTCTCAGAAAAAGATAGGGTTTAGATTTCTCTGATGAGCCTGGCAGACGTGATCGCCACAAGAATGGCCATTCAAACGTCTCGAAGGGAAATTACGAAAGAGTTCTAAGCACCAATTACAGATCCCAAGCCAGAAAACAAATACAAGGGGAACATAGCAAAATAGCTTTAAACCGCATTATTGTGGACTAAAATATTCTTGATCCAAGGAGAGAACCGATTCCCATTCTGGAGTCAAGAAGTATTATTTTCCTAGTTTATTGCAAAATTGGAACTGCTTCAAACTGTTTTTTGTTTTTTTGCCTTCTTTTGGATCAACAGCAAAAACAGATGTGAGAAAGGCTGAAATTGATGTCTCTTTTCACCTATGTACTATGTAAAAAAAAAATTTCCTGGTGAAAACATATCAATAATGAGGAAATGACTCTGTGGTGAAATCTGA